TCAGGAGGACGGTCCTTCCGTGGTGACAGGAGAGACTCTCCTGCTCCGGGAAAGCCTTTAGAGGTCCGGAACCCCCCCAGTCAATTGACGAGACAGCTGGCTCGATGAAGCTGCAGGATCACACACACACACACACACACACACACACACACACACACACACACACACACACACACACACACACTGTGGATACACACAGTTGTCTCCAGCTTGCTCTCAGTACGGCCGTGCCACCCTAGTAGCTGCAGAATCTAACCCGAGCACAGGAGCTGCTGGAAGTATTCTTAACCCTCCTGCCCTGGAATGTCACCCTCCACTGAGATTAGTTGGCGGAAGGCCGCGGGATAGGTTGACACAAGAGCAGATACAATATTAGGTGTTTCCACTGTGGGCAGGTTGCACGCGACTGCATCAAGCAGACACAAGTTCACTGTCTTTGACTCTTGTGTGCATTTAGCTGCTCAGTGCTTTGAGTCCTGAATCAGCCTCTTCCTACGGACTTTGTAATGATGTTATAATCATGCATAAACAACTTCAGTGATGGCTTTGGTTTAGAGGACACTTGGCTTTTTGATAAAGACCTTTTTTTTAAAGTCAGGATGGTCTGCTTATCCTTAATGTTTAAGTGAGTTACAAATCGTGTGTTTTCAAAAGGGTTTCATTGACTTTCTTTTGGATATATCCACACAAGAAGTGGGAGAAGTCCACAAGATACAGAACAACTTGATTTTTGTTTCCCCCAATTACAACATATAAAAAGATATGAATTTTTATATGTATTTGTCATCTTTTTGAAGTGCTATATCTTTACCTAAGATTGGTATCAGATGCATTTGAGTATATCCTACAGTTGAAAAGCTGTGAAGTCTCATTTAAAGCTTGTTCAATAGGGACCTTTCAACACTTTGCGAAATGTCATCACATGTATAATACCAACACTGTTTTGATCTATAACCAAGTCAAAGAAATGTCTTTCAACAGCCAATGAAAGAAGGGATTCCTCAGAGAGCAGGTAATGGGATTAGATGAGCGGTGTGATTTATGCGTGTGTGTTTGACAGGTGTAACTACGGCTGGCAGGGGCAGTTCTGTGATGAATGTATGCTGTTCCCGGGGTGCGTTCACGGGACCTGCAACGTCCCGTGGCAGTGCAAATGTGAGAGGAACTGGGGCGGCCTGCTGTGCGATAAAGGTATGGAAAAGTCCATGTTTTCTTTTCTTTAATCGCCTCCCACACACAGCTCTCGTCCTGCACGTCCCCTCCAGCTACAGCTGCCTGGGTGTGATGAGTAAGAAACGAGCGAGCTACTCGGAGCAGAGGTGCAACAGAAAATACTTTTGAAGGAGCCACATATGACCATGTAGAAAACTGTAAAAATAATGCTGCTCAGTCATTTGCAGCTGGAATTGAAATGTCTTTTCTGGCTCTTTAGAGTACAGTGAACGCATTTGTTAACATTTCCCAACATTTAACCTGAGCTTCCCGTCGAATGGAAGGTTATTTTAAACTATTATTAGAGCTGAAACGATCAGTCGATTAATCTTATACATAATTACCTGATTATAATATTTGGCAACTATATTGATATCTTGATTTATTGCTAGTATTATCTCACATGTTCCTAGTTGCAGGTTTACATTGATGACGATTCTTTGTTTTATGAAATAATAAACAGATTTTCTTTATTTTTGGGCTTCTAAATGTCCCTTCAGACACAGTTTTGACATCTTATAAATCGAACAATGTTTCAGTTACAATCACTTTTAGGCAGATTAATAATAGGAATTATACTAAAAGCCCTTTTTTTTTTTTTTTTTTTGAGCCAACAAAATGGAGAGAAAATAACTGTCACTGTAATAGAAAAATTATTAAATCAATAACAAAACGTAATATTGTCAATGCCAATCATATCACAGAGTATGATGTGGTCCCATCAAGCGGGCTATGTAATGATGGTGATATTTTTGTTCTGTATATTAGGAGACCAAACTTACAAAAAACTGCATTTAAAGGTACCTTAACACAGGGGTTCCCAAAGTGGGGGTCGCGAGATGATTACAAAATAAAAATGTAAAATAAAAAATAAAAATTGATTAAAAAAAATTGATAAATGTTTTTTATAATTTAAAAAAAAAAAAAATTATTAATAATAACGTTTGCATAGACAT